TGGCTGTCATGTGCAGTGGATTATGTTCAGATGCCATTGAAAAGCAAAGCCAATTAGAACCTCATAGCTCAGCAATAGAAATTATTGTGCAAGGGATTATTGAAGAAGTAACTTGAAAAGCAGTGAATGCTTTGAAATTTAAGCCCTATATGAATGAAGTTTAAAATAATTGTAGTCAAATTAATCTTTAACAAGTAGCTATATTTAGAAAGTTTGCTATTAAAGAATCTTTCATTGATGGCTCTGAACATATATGTGACCTATCAGATCTCTATATCACTTAATTAATTGGACAAGTTATTTTTCTAAACATCTAAGAGAATCAGCAATTGTTAATATGTTTGAACAATCTAAATTTGACTATGATACAATTTTTACTTTAAGGAGAGAACAACTCTTCAGTGATGTGATGTCTCTTTGTATATGGCTATAAACATTACTATCAATGTGATCAACACCATCATTTTGCCATCATAGCTGTTATCACTCATCCATTCTTCACTTACTCATTCTTTAAATTATCTGACACACCTGGGATGTACTGGAAACTTCAGGATGCTAAAGATATATAGCAGAAAACAAGATGAACTCAGTTGCTTATATGAGACTTCCTTTGTGGAGATTAGAAACAGATAAAATGAACACTTAATATCTTTCATTGTTAAATATATTACTAAATTTAATATGACATATAATGCACCTCCGAATGGCAGTGCTATGAAGAAACATAAGGCTGAATGAGGGAAAATAACGAGATAAGAAATGCTATTTAGAGAGGGTGGTGAGATGTGGCTTCCCAGCGGGGAAAAAAAAAAAAAGTGAAAGTATTGAGGAAAGAAAATATATCAAACAGCTCACTTACTATCAACTATCTTATTATACATTGAAGTAACAATTTTGTTTAATTATCTTGTTTTAATAGCTGTAGCATTTTTAAATAGTTACCTTTATTATTTTAGCTTAGTAAACAAAAACAAAAACACCGAGGCTCAGGAAAACGAAAAAAAAAAATTCAAATAGTTATTAAGTAGCAGAGTTGTATTCAAACTGATTGGCCCCATATATTTTAGGCAAGTTGTTCAAAGGAAGGAAAATCATATCTGGTTTGCATATTTAAGGGAGATTACCAAGAGAAGAGACTGTTGAGCAAGATGTGGAATGATTGACAGTATCTATAATTGGATGCACATGAACTATTGAATGGAAAATACTTAGGAATGGAATGGTGATGTGAAGGATGAAGTATCTGAGGCACAATGAGAGATGGCTGTTACAGCAATATGGGGTACAGGATTCTTTTTTCATGAGAATAAGTTAGTTCAAGAAGCTGGAGCTTGGATATAAACAATTATATTCCTACACTCACATTTGGAATTGATTCTTTAGATAACAGTGGTTACATTAAATTAAAGTACCTGTGGAATAAAGTAATATGTAAACTCATGCTTTAGAAATGTTACTGTGCTAACACAATATAAGGTAGATGGGAAGAGGAAGACTTATAGTAAGAGTTCATTGAGTTGACAGGTCCTGAACAAGTGCTAATGGATACCTTAGGGTTTTAAAGCACCTTATTGATAAGTCCTTTGAAAGGAACCATACATTGTTACATGCATCCTTTATGAAAAGCAAGTTATAACTCAAGCAGGTTTTACCATTATTAAAATAGTATATTATTTCTAGTCTTCCATAATTGGGGGATTATAAATTTATCTGAAAGTAGCAAACAATTAGAATAGTTATTTTTTTTAAGATTTCTTTATTTATGCATATAGAACTGGGGTACAGGCCAGAGGTGTAGGGGTGGTGAGAGGATTCATCAGAGACAGAGTGGGGTGCAAAACAGGCTGTCTGACGAATTACACTGCTGAGAGGAACAGCGGGCAGGTTAGGAGAGGTCTGCCGCTCCACGTGGATCAGCTCCGTGACAGGGATCAGACTCATGCTGAAGTGGCTTTAGCTTTTTAGTGCTGTGCTTTAACCTGCAGTACCACCAGGGATGGTCCAAGAATAGGTTTTATATAACTATGTTTTTCTGAAATAAAATGTGTTAAAGTCCAATCATTGTTATGTATGGGTCCAAGTCATTCTTTGGTTAATTCATTTATTGATTTGCTCATACATTTACCTGAGAAATATTTAATTGTAGAAAAGAAATATTGGTTAAGAATGTGTGTTTTAAATGAAGACTTTATGGACTGGATACTGAAACCTTCAATTAACTATCAGTAAGTGGATTTGTTATTATTTATCTCAATTCCATTTTTTTTTTTTGATCTGTGAATTTGTGAAAATATCAGTAATCTCACCTGGTTTTATGAGAATTAGGTGACTGTGTATTTAAAGCACTCAGTATGATAACAAACACATAGTAAGAGATCTAAGTTATTAATAGTTGTTAGTGTATGGTTGATGTTACATAATTACATAATGTTGCAATACTGTAAAGCACATTCTGAAATAATTTTTCTATAATTCTCTTGAACTTGAGTGATGGGTGAATATCAAGATCAGTTTATTTAAAATTATGTATTATTCTTATTTTTTTACTGGACTGAGACTTCAGTCATACTTGTTGTGACTCATTTGTTAACTTTGCTTACACTACAAAACAATAATATCTGGCTCATGTCCCTTCCATTTAATGAACATGAAATTGTTTATTATTTTGACCCAGACATCCACTTCTTATTAATTGTTGCCCCTTTTTTCATTCTCTTAGGTTTTGGTAATGAGTATTTTACTACTTTGCAATCATTATCGGCTTTGATTAATAGAATTGAATTCTCTAGTCTGTCAGTCTGCATTCTGAGTAGTTTGGAAGTAGGCCATTAATACAGAGATAACTGATCATCAGCTATACAGATTGTGACAAGGAAACACATCTAGAAATCTACAGTAGCCTTGCATATCGGAACAGAGTTTATGATCTTAAAACAGGTATTGCTTCTGTGTAGCTATTGTCAATCTAATGTAACAACATTACATGGATGTATGATGATTTGGGGCTTACTGTCTTGGTTTATGTGGAAATGTGAAGGGAAATTTTAACCAAATGCAAGGGCAGTAGAGGAATTGGAACAAAAACATTAGTCATCATGAAAAGTGTTGTGGGACAGGTCATTTAAAGAAGAATGTATGTACTCCTGTTAAATTTGGTACATCAGTGAAAGACATAAAATGATTGATCTGGGAAAAGAGAAAATAAGTTTGAAGCTCTATGCATGGCTTTTGATTGCCCTTACGGAGGACTCAGGTCTTTACATATGAAGTGTCTATTGCATAATTAAATGTCAACCTCACTATATGAAAATTTGCTTTTATTCTGAGTCACAGGAACCCATTTATAACCTTTAAAGTATTTTTCTTACTTGATTTTGTTTTCTCCTCCAATTCATATAAATTTATTTTCTCAAATTTTATTAGTTTGTCAGTTATTTACGTAACTATATAATGTGGGAAATGCAGCATCATACTTGCAAATGAACACATCTTCCACCAAAATTCCAGTGCCTCTCTCCTATTCACTTCTTTCCCCAAGCTCTTCTTTCCTCCCTTATTCCCCTGATAGCCAGTATACTTTTGTTTTTCTTCAGAGTCTGTAGGAATCATTTTGTTGGTGCTCTGCCAGCTTGTTTTCTTTGTTTATTTATATTCTACAAATAAGCGAGACTATCAGGTAACCATCTTTCACTTTCTGACTTATTTCACTTAGCATGATCACTTCAGGATCCATCCATTTTGACCCAAGAGGCACTGGTTCATCTTATTTTATATCCCAATAGTTTTGTGTTTTTGTATATATTCCATAATTCCTTTCTTCAATGGTCTTTTGTTAGGAATTTACCTTGACTTCATGTCGTGGCTCTTGTCAATAATGCTGCTGTGAACATAGGGGTGCATAAATATTTTTGTATCAGTGTTTTCATTTTCTTTGGGTAAATATCTAGCAGTGATTCTGCTGGGTCATAATGTATCTCTGCTTAAAGCAAGATAGCACTATGAATTTCTGGGTGATTTGTATTTACACTATAAACTGTGTTAAGACTTTAAGAGTTTAAGACTTGTTATATTTGTTCCCAAATCACCTAGCTAGTTTTGAATAAAAATGACTTTATTGAGAAAGGTAGAATAGAGGTTGGTGGAGGCTGTAGGAAAAAGTAATGAGAAGCTCAGTATTTTATAAACTTTATTGCAAAGAAAATCTGACACTTACTTCAAACCACTGTGGTCTGTCCTTTGCGTTGCTGACTTATGCTCACACACATTTAGTCAACAGAGAACACACATCTCTGAATCATATTTCTCAAGGAGACTTTTCATTTAAAGCTTTACTATATGTAGTGTGAGAAATGCTTAAATGTATCCTTTTTCAGCATTCTTACCTTCTTGCCCATATAATTCATGCTCCCAGGCACAGGACATCATAAACCATTGATATAAAATTATTCATTTAATTTAGTTAGTGCAGCCTGTTAATTTTTATGAAAGGTGGGGGAACTGTTTAAAAAGGACCTATTATATTGACATAGGTCACTGCTCCTCAATGAGGGGTATTTTGAATGCTTTAACCATCTCTAATCATTTTCGTTTTTATCCTGTTAGAAAAATACTCTCTAGTGCTTTAGTATTTACATTTTTTTGCAGGTCCCATTGTAGCAAGAAAAAAATATAAGTGGACACATTGTATTTGCATAATTGTTTTTCACAGTACTTTGACTATTGTCATACTGTTGTTAGTCAATGTATTTTAACAACTTCTACATTTTGTACAGCAGGCATAACTCTCTGCTGGTTTGTCTTATAGAAAGAAGATTGCACCCCCCAAGGTAGTCATTTATAATATATACACCTCTGAATAATTAAATGAGATACCAAAGAGGAAACGGATTCTAATCAGCTTTCAAACTGTGATTGTGCCATACACTGAATCATCTCTTCATGAATACATTTCTCTTGGAGCATGTATAATTATGAAACTTTTTTTTCTATCTCGGTAGGAACTGGGAAGTAACAGCCCTCCTCAGAGAAACTGGAAGGGAATTGCTATTGCCCTGCTGGTGATTTTAGTTGTATGCTCTCTCATCACCATGTCAGTCATCCTCTTAACCCCAGGTAATCTGTCTTTATTCTGTCTTATGATTTTATTGTGGATGATAATTTCACATTTAAATGCTTTAAGAAGGTGACCATATGTGGTATCATAGGACATATTAGTATTGGCTTAAATAAAAATAAAACGCATAACCAGACATTTTGCAAATGGCACAGTAATTTTTTGCTTCAAATATCATGCAAAATATTTCGAGGAAACTGAAATGTAAAGATATATGTTGAGAATGCCAAGGAGATCTGTGAGCTTTATTGGAACTTAGAAACATGTTTATCAGTTTAATAAATGTAGGAAACATTTGATTTTTATTATGGGTTGAACATGTGGCAATGGAATATGGTAGTTCTGTATGTAAGTGATAGCCCATACATTTGTAACTTTGGTAAGGTAGAATTTGAGCGAGCCAAGTAAGTTTCTGGATACATCTTCTCCTTTTCTATCTCTCCCTCTAGTTTTTACAATATTTTCAGTTTCTCTTTCTTTAAGGAACCTCCCCAAATTGTCCTTGCAATGATATTTGGAATAGTCTTTAAATTAAGGATTTTAACTTTAATATATAAATTATGAATGCACTTAACTATTCTGTGGGGGTTATTTCAGTACAGAGAAGTTTTATTATTTAGTAGATTCTAGTAAGGAAGATGGAGAAAAACTGTTCATTTTTTTTAATTTCCCCAAACTGTCTTCAGGACAAAAATAAACTTGCATTCTGTTATAAACCACCCCCCCAACTAGCTTTCTCAAAGACTAGAGACCCACATATGATTCAATATTAAAAAAATATAATCATTGCTAGGATAAAGTTGAATTAACCCAAAAATCAATTAATCAATGGATAGAAAGTTTAAAACATGTTTTTGAGTGTCATACATATATATAGTGTCACACACACACACACACACACACACACACACATATATATATACATACACATATATACAACCATATATGTGTGTATATAGTGTATATATTGATGTATATATAAACATACATGCACACACACTTCACTTCCCGATTTACCTTTATTATATATGAGCTCCTTAAATGTGTCAAATTTAATTCCTCATGTCCAAAATGAGATTAATAAGAACTCTCTTTCATAATCATGTAGTCAACTAATTATATAAATTGCAATATCAATGCCTGTAAATGCCATATTTGAAAATATTGGTTTTAAAATATGTTGTCCAAAATATAGTTTGCAGTTATTATTTAACAAATGAAGATTGAGAAAGAAATTAAGCAAGCCAGGAGGAAGGAAATGGGAAAGAAATTTTCTTTTAAATAGAAAGAAAAGAAAATTCCCTGGCTAAATTGGCTTTTCGAGCATTCTCTTCAGGAACCCTCTCTTAACTACCTGATTTGTACATTTGCAGTACAATGTAATAGAGCAACGTTGGCTTTAAGTTGCTATGGAATGCCAAGCATAGTGTTTCATTTCAACATAAGAATTCTAGCACAATTATTAAAAAAAAAATGAATGTTTCAGTTTTATTGCATTCTATTGATGACTATTAACCAGATAGAGAAAATTGATGTCATAATGCCTGTGTATCTCATGAACTTTCTTCCATTCAGATTCTAGTATCTTTTAACTGCTGATTCACTTTCTCAGTTTTTCATTCTAGTTTCTGAAACACAGTGGTATTTTGGGAGTTTGATGTAACAAAACCTTATAAAGTTGGCCAGTTACTAAATTAAATTCCCCTTTGGTTAAGCCTTTTCCAGTTATACTAGTATAAAAGCACAGGGTAGTCGGCCTTCATTTTGTCCTGCACTTAATCATGTATTAAAGGAAGGCTCTGGGCAAGACCCATTTTGAATCTTGAATCTGTAACGTCCTTGTGACCATGGACATTTAACCTATCTCATACTTCACCTATTTAGATTACAGATGCAGTATATAGTACCAACTTGACAGGACTATTATAAGCAACAAAACACATAATAATAGTCCAGATGTTTAGTATCGTGTCTAACACTGTTGTTAGTCCTTTTGTTTATTTTTAGATATATTTATTTATGCATACATATAGAACTAAGGTACAAGTCAGAGGTGCAGGAGCTGTGAGAGTCTTCCCCAGAGACAGAGTGGGGAGCAGAACAGGCAGATCATTGAAGTACAATACTGACGGAAACAGCGGGTGAGTCAGGAGAGGTCTGAAGCGCCATGTGGATCATTTCCGGGACAGGGGATCGAACTTTCATTGAAGCAGTTGCAGCTAGCTTGCAGTGCTGTGTCCTACCCCATTGCACCACCAGGGAGGGCCCTTTTATTCCTCTTTTTATTGCAGTCATCCAGTAGTTATTGACCACCAAAAACAATTCCATGAAGGGAATTTACAAGAAAAAAATACTCTATAGAATGTAGATCTGTGATTTTGGTGTTATGATAGATGAAGAGGAATAAATGTTTAAACTGATATCAGTCTTTTAATGTTCTTTCCTTATTCATTTATTCAGGCATACATAGGGGATGGAAGAGTTCTTAAAATAGAAATTCTACACACTTTGGTAGATATACTGGTACTTCACTCCTAAGCTCCAATCTCCTTCCCTAACTATACAAATCATAATCACACTCATCTATGCATGTAAAAGTGTCAATTATTAATTACATTTACAGTTTTCTAAGTATATTTCACATATGGCATGTTCAAATGTCTTTCTTTCAGTGTTATTTTTGGCAGTGATATTATAAAATGAAAAAAAAATGTACACTGAAGTGGAAAAGATATTACTATAAGAAGTAGAAAACCTATGTTCTGCACTATTCTATTGGTCAACAAAATGTTACCAAGAACCTGAAAGATTATATAAACTGGTGAAATGGGTAATTATAATGATGGTGCTAGGACTTTACTTGAATTATGAGCAAGTAAATCCACCTTCATTATATGGTCTTCATGGTTGGTCAAACAGCAGGACAAAATATAAAGCCAGCAGATTAACAGTTTGTGGCCCAACACTTCAGTCATCAATTAGGGAACACTCTTTGAATATATCTATTCTTGCTTCCATCATGAGTTGGTGAAAAACAGCTTAACCTATGTTTCTCACAACTAGCATTTGCATCAAAACCATTTAGTTAGTTCTTTTTCCATTGCTGTTTTTTTTTTTTAAGACACCTTGTATATTTATTCACAAAATAGGATTTCTTCATTCAAAAGCCATCACCATAGTTTCCACACACTAAAGTGCCACAGTCTCCACCCATGGAATAGTATGCAGTGATCAAAAAAAGAGAAACCCATGCCATTGTGGCAACATGAATGGAACTGGGACGGATCTTTCTATGAGAATAAGCCTGAAAGAGAAAGGTAAATACAGATGGTTTCATTTATCTGTGGAATCTAGAGAAACCATACAAAGGAGACTTTCCTAAAGGGAGGGAAACAAGAAGGGAGATTAGAGAACAGGGTAGTGTGGGGGGCGAGTTCTGTAGAGGGTGTGTGGCTGTGCATACCTCTGATCAGACTGCAAAGCTCTCATGGTACCAAGTCTTCCTCGTCAAATTCTCAGCCTTGAGACCCCTGGAGCTGTGCTAGAACAGATCCCGGTAGAAAACCTGCAGAGCTGGTACACACCATTGCCTCTTCCAGGTATGAACATTTTTTGACATATTTGTCCAGAAGTATGTCCCCACAGCCTACCTTTCTTGGTAAACCACTCAGGCAAATGGAAACTTCCAATCTGGAAGGTGAATCTATTTCAAAGAAAATAGCTGACACTGAAATTATTCTGTAAGTTAGTGGACCTTTTTGGACAAAGAACTAATTCCAGAATAATCCTTCCAATAAGGATAAGGAGCCAGAAAATTCATATGCCTTTTATACCTATATGATCGAGGATAAAATAATTTCTCTCCTTTGATGATTTTTTGCAGAGAAGTGCAACTTTGGATTACCAAAATGTGATGCAATCACTTGAAGTTTACTTATAGCTCTAATATCTACTATCTGTATAATAACTACAATAAAAACAGTGACAATAGTGACTATTTTAGTAACAAATATATCAACTAATTAAAACTGGTTGACTCACTAGGCCTCTTCTACCTTGAAAATATATCCAATGAATTTAGTGGCTTTATTTTTTGTTGGGGGTGGCATACAAAAGTTATCTAGTCTAAGAAATGATTTAGAAGCTGTTTTGCTTAAGATAACAACACATTTTACAGGTAAGGAATTCATGATCTTTAGACAGAGTAACACATGTTCATTGTAATCTTGGTTTGATTGCAAATTTTATTACAGAAGTAATTTGACACAGGTGTCTTAATTTACTAAATTTTCAGTAACTTCCTGCCTTGTGAATATAAATCCTAATTATTTTCAAAGAGTAGGTTAACCATTCCAGTATTTCTTTAATAAATAACTATTTCTAAAGGAGGAAATTTTCACTCAGTTTTTTTCCCTGATTAGAGAATCATGTAGATATATTGATCAATGCCACATAACTTTTCTTCCTGTATTCATACAAAAAGGAATAGCCACATTTATTTTCTCAATTATGTGGCTGTAAGATCAATAATTACACTCTACAAATATATGAATGTATATTCATACTTAAAGTTGAAAATCAGGTTTATGTAGCAATGCATTTACTTCACAGACTCATTTATATTTAATATGTAGAACGGGAATGAACATGGTCAGGAGACATTTCATACAGAATATAATTACCCATTTTAAACTATTTTGAGAATAGTGATGCATATTTTATGAGTGGGATGTATTTAGTAGAGGGCATTTTTCAAACTATTCAGCCTGGTTGCCATATTTAAATAGTCACCTGTGTGCACTGGTGTATGTTTTACCAATTTTTCACCAACAGTGGCTTGTTACTCTTTGATAGGTGTTTATACTCACATCAAAATAAGGTTATCAGGTGAATTTACTGCCATGTCTGGCTAGGGACAGCATTGCATCTTCAACATTAGCTCTCATTTTTCTTTCTTTCTTTTTTCTTTTTTTTTTTAAGATTTATTTATGCATATAGA